GGGCCGGCGGAGGCGCGGGGTACCAGTGAGCGGCGAGGAGCCGCGCGCCCCGTGCCCGCCCCTGTCTGTGCGCCCGCCCGCGGGTCTTGGTCCGCCCGGCGTGCCAAGCGCGGAGCATCCTCTCAGCCGCGCACCTGCCGCACGCACCTGTCCGCCGACCGCCCGGCGTTTGGCGCTTCGCTGGCTACCAGCCGCACCCAGCCAGCGCTGGGGCCCCGGCCCGGCCTGACCCGGCCCCGGCCCGGCCCTGGCCCTGCCTCTGCGTCCACCCCGCGCCGCGACCAGGCCCGGGCGCAGCGCTGCGGAGAGCGAGGGCCGCCTGGAGGCCGGCCGGGGCCCGCGCGGCGATGATGAACAGGTTCCGAAAGTGGCTGTACAAACCCAAGGTGAGCGACCCAGGGCCGGACGCCCTCTGCGTTGCGCTCTTCTTCCCCCAGGACTGACCTGCTGCCTGTCCCTCCCTGGCGAGACAGGCCCCCTTTCCCTTTCCATGAAGGCTTTCTCTTTCCTACCGCCTGACACCCCTTCCCTCCACTCCGCGACTTGGGCAGACCCCCATCTCCTTACCGACCCCTGGCTCGGACCCGACCGCCCGTTCCTAAGCCCTGGTACTAGAGGGACCCTCTAGCTCTTACTCTCAGACCTGGGTGCACTTTCCCTCCCCCTCTAACTGCGGCTCAAACCTGCCCCTTTCCCTTCTCATCCCGATCCTGGACTGGCCTGGGCTCGCACCCCACGGTCCTGGGCGCCCTACTACTTTTCCTGGGTGCCCCCTTCCTGCACCAAGGAGGATGCCTTCCCTGTTCTCCGCCGCCCCTTCCCCCATTACTCTGGGCCCCGGATAATGGACCTCCCAACCTACCTCCGCTCTACGGAACAGCCCCTTTCTCCTCTTCCCTCAGGTTCTGTAGGGATTCCCCGGTTTCCAATCCTCCGGTCCCAGACAGACTCTTTCTTCCTTGTATCCAGAGAGGGTCCTCATGCCCCTGTCCTGGCCCTCCCTTCCCAACCAGTACCGATCCGACTTCGACCCTGTTCACGTCTCCATTCTGGTCTCTTCCCCACCCATGTCTTCTCGAATTCGGGGACGGGTCCTTCTGTCACCTGGCGGTGAGAGCATCTGGGGCCCATAGCCTCCCCCGGGTAGGAGGTGCTGCTCCCCACGCAGCGCTAATGCCCCTCTCGAACCGCGGGGTCGGGGTCGGGGTCTGGGCGGTGGGCCCTGCGCCTCGGCGGCAGCGCCAGTCGCACTGCGGGCGCTGCGTCCCAGCTGACAGCCTGGGACTCGAGTCCGCTGCGGCGGGAGCAAGGAGCCGGGCCGGGTTCTTGCGGCTCAGGGTCATGCCGCGGGGAAGCTGGGATCCTGCGAGGGTTCAGGGTGCACCCTGGGCGTTCGGAGGCGGCACGTTGGGCCCTCGCTGCGGGAGGGCCCCGGCGCTGGGGTCCTGGGGAGGCACGGCTTGGGTGGGGTCACCGTGAGGACCAAGGGTGGGAGCGGGGCCAGTTGCACTCTGGGCAGATCCGGGGGGATCGGACATTGAGGCCGCCGCGTTGCCTGACCAACTCAAGAACAGACAGAAGACCCCTTCCCTCGAGAGGCTACTTTACTTGGCGCAGGATCCCAGCCTCTCTCCCCCTCCATGAGTGATTTCAGGGTTGTGTTCCTTAAATACGCGTCCCCTGGTGCGCCCATTCCCGCCAGCCGGCAAGCGGGTCTGTTTGAAAAACTGGCACCTGAGGTTTGGGGCTAGTTCAGGGACCCGAAGGCTCGTGTTCCACGGCCTTCGCTGAAGGGGAGCTTTATCTGGGGTTCGGGGGTGTTGGTTCGGACCTGCAGTGCACGGGCCGCACTTGGCCTTAGCCTGGCCCAGAGCAGAGTCAGAGTGGCCCTGCTCGTGCTCCACCCTGCATGGTGCAGCAGCTTGTTGGGGGTTCGTGGTGACCCTGGTGCTTCCCTGGGCTGGGTGTGGTTTGGGGCCTCACCTGTCCTTGGCCACGCCCTGGGCGCCCAGCCCTCTGCTCCTTGCAGAGCATTCTGTCCTGCCTGAGGTGGCTTTGTGAGTGGACTGACCCGCCTTGGGTGAGGTCACCTGTGCAAGGAGTGGCTTTTCGTTTGAGTGACTTTTTGTCTCTAGTTAAGGAAAAATCAAGTCCAATTGTGAAAAAGTCATTTGAGAATGGGCAGCAGTGTTATTTTTTTGGTGACAAGTGGCTGGGGGCAGACAGGAAAGTGTTTGCAGGCACCTAATGGTCTGGTGTCTCTGGGGTTGCTGATGCCTTCCGATGCCCTTTCCGTGGTATGTGGGGGAGAGGCGGTGTTTCCAGGTCACGCTGGCACCTTGGAAGGGAAGGAAAAGTACTTGCAGGCTGTTTCATTAATAGCTGGATAATTTCAGAGTGGCCTTGAACTACAGTTTATAGAAAAGACTTTGAAGATGTTACTGCCCTTGAAAGTGTGCCCTAGAATTGAGAATAGGATCCCTTAAGTTTCCTCTTCAGCAACCAGCTGCCCTTGAAGACCTGCTCCAGGAGTTGACCAGGGTGCATTAACTTATCCCGATAATTCAGCCCAAAGCCTTGTGCTGAGGGAGGAAGGGAATGGGCAGGGTTTCATTCAGAGCTGTCTGTCGTCTGTGCCCATACTGTCTGACATTTGTCCCCACCGTGGATTCCAGCCACACCTCCGTCTCAGATCTCTGGAAGCTGTGCTCTGTGGTCTGCCTTAATTGGGGCAGTCTCTTATTTGAGGTCTGTCTTTGGATTAAAATATCCTGATAATTTGAAGGTTTGGAGTATATTGTATTTTATCTCTACCCCAATAGCTTTTCATTTTTCAAACCAAAGCTCAGTTTTTTTTCCTTGGATTTTGAACTGAATTATGCTTCTCTTCTGTCTAATCAGGCACATTTTGGCACAGGAGAGTCGAGTCAGTCCTGGGAAGATGCAGGGCCTGGGGGAGTTGAAGTGTTAAATGCTAGCTATAGGAGGGTACGTCTGGGGAAGATTGTTCCCACAGTTCAGATTCTTTTTTCCACTTTTGTATTTAGATGTACAGTTCAAGCTTCATTTTTAATTTAATCTCTGCTTTGGTTTAAAACGGAACACTGAGCTTTTTGTTCACTATAGTGTGGTGGAAAATATTCTGAAATAAAAATCTTATTCATTGTTCCTGTAGTTCTAAAAAGTGATTGGAAATGCTCAAAGTATTTTTCTATGATGCTTATGAATTTCAATATCTGAATCACTAATATATATGTAATAAGTTGGGTAAAAAATACCTGATGAATAATATAATAGTTCAGTGTTAACCTGACATTTCCAAAGCATTGCATTTTCATTTCTTCCTGCAAGTCAGCCTTCTAAACACTGTTGTGGTTTTTCTTGATGGAGAGCACTCAGGCTTAGGGTGCTGCACTGAAAGCAGCACACAGGAGGTTCGGCCTGTCCTCTCTTAGTGTCTGGCTTTCCTGGAGGGTGAAGGCTTTCCAAGGAGAGTTAGTATCTGAGGTGGGGGAATACTCTGGAGGAGTTGGTGTCTTCTTTGAATTAGAAGCATCAACTTGTGTTTCTGGCTGGGTTATAACATCCTGTTAATCAACCTAGATGGACATCCCTGGCCACCAAGCAGGGAGGGATCATGGCAAGGGGGGAGGGGACAGTGGCCCTAGACCTAGTGTTGGTCTGGTTTCTTGACCACATCAAAGAGCACATTGATGATGATCCAGAATTCAGGAGTTATCTGTGGGTGCATGATGGTGCCCAGGTAGATGGGCATAGTTGGTTTGATGGCTGATTATTACTCTCAGCTGTACACCCCACAGAGATGGTTCTCATCTGCAGCCCCCAGCCACTTCCAGGGTCAGGAATATCAACTTTTGCTGTCTCCTCCCTTGCAGGGGGAACACTCCTTGTAATACTGTTTTGCTGAGTGATGTTTATCTGGATTCTTTTTGTGATGTTCTGGGTTCAGATTTGAGATGAGTGGGCTCTAGCTAGGAGAAGCCTGCAAGACTGTGTGTTTTCCCAGCAGACCCTGCAAGCCCTGTGCAGTCTGCGTGTGTGCAATCTTCCTGGGGGAGGGGTTCTTTGGAAACCCATCAGCACCAGGCATTGCTGCACATGGGGATTCCTGCCTGTTGCTGTCAGGTGAACACAGCCTCAGGTGTCCAGGGGTCCAGGACCATGCCCAGGGACCCCTCCAGGTTCCAGAGTGCCAGCCTGCCCTCTACAGGCCCTTGAGTAGAGCTGCCCCTCTGTGGCTGGCCCTCTGCACCTTGACCACCTGGCTGAGGGGGGTGGCACTTTGAAAGTACAGTGACACATTGAGACAGTCCCAGGGTGGAGCCAGGGGAAGCAATGGCCAGGACTTGTATCTGGAGGCCCTGAGTAAGCATGGAAAGGTACAACCTGATCCTTCTTTTCGGGTTGCCCAACAGGGCTGAGGAAGAGGGCTGATGACACAGATGACAGACACTGCTAAGAGCATAACCAGGGTATCAACAAACCCTGAGGCTGGAGTGCTGCAGAGGGTCATGGTGGAGACTGTGAGATGCCTGATTTCCCACAGCCTGTGGCCTGCCTGCCTGAGAAGGCAGCCACTATCACGGCTGATTTCCCTGCTCTGCCTTACCTGGGGAATGCTTCTGTCTGTATGTGCCATGTCAGTGCCCTGTGCCTGGCACGGATCTCTTTCTGGCATTTGGGGTTTGGGTGTTGCCTTCCAGCCAAGCTGCTGACTAGTTTTTAGCTGATGAACTCCAGGTGCACAGCTGTGACCGAGGCCACACTTGGAGTAGCACATTTCTCTTGGGGTGAGCCACTAGAATACCAGTGACCTGGTGCCGTACAGGCCTGCCAGGGCCAGCTCCCCCTTCTAGTGCAGCCAAGGAAGTTGGAGCAGTGGTGCTCGGCAGTAAGGAGTCAGGCAGGTGGCAGGCTCTGCATGCTCATCTCTGAGGCCCAGGGCTCCCTGAATTGAGAAGGTAAAGTGCTCCTCCCTCCCTTCCCCACCACCTCTGGTGGCCCCCTCTTTCAGACTCCGCCAGGGGGGACCCAAGGCCTGGAACCCTGCCACCCTGAAGGTGGCTCTGTAGACCTACCCTGGTGACAAGGCAGGGGCTTTAAGCAGGAACTTGGCCTCATTTCCCAGGTTTTGCTGTGGTTTCTCTGTGTGATGGGGAGCGTGGGGCCACATGGGCCTCCATGTACCAGGGCACCTGCAGGCCAAGGGAGTGTCAGTTGCTGTAGGACTGTCATGGGGCTCTGCTTACTGGCAGTGTGTGATGCGGTTTCTGTTAAATGGGCGAGTCATAGGCCCAGCGCCATGGGCTTCTTATAATTGCCACTTGGACTGAGTTGTGTCCAGCAGGCGGTTTGCCTAGGGGAAGGGAAGCCAGTGCCCCACACAATCCCCTAAAATGGGGAGGGTTTAGGTAATTGCATTCAAATTTAAGAGGATAAATGGGTAATTTAAGGATGTTTTAGTGCCTGGTTTGAGCCACCAAGAATTCCCAGAATAGCAGATGTCCTTGCTTTAAATGTGCAAAGGTGCACCCACCTAAGAGCCCATAAGGGGCTACCATGGCTCTGTCTCCTTGGAATTGATGGCGTTGTGCATCTACAACTTGTAAGTGGTATCTCTGGACCCTGCAAGGGTGGGTGATGGCGAGCTGATTCCAGCTCAGAGAGAAGTAAATGCATAGACGGCCGTGGGTTTTTTTTTTTATTTAAAATTTTTTTTTAAAGAGAGAGAGAGAGAGAGAGAGAGAGAGAGAGAGAGAGAATATGAATTTTAATATTAATTTTTTAGTTTTGGGCGGACACAACATCTTTGTTTGTATGTGGTGCTGAGGACCGAACCCAGGCCGCACGAATGCCAGGCGAGCGTGCTATCGCTTGAGCCACATCCCTAGCCTGGGTTTTAATGCTTCTTCCACTTTAACTTGTTTGGAGTCTGCTCTTGCCAGTGCTGCTTGTCAGAGCCGAGACAGGGCAGCGGGATTTCTGTTGCAGGGCCTGGCTAGGTGTCTGCACACTCCCGCTCCCAGCCCCATGCTTAGCCTCCCCAGCTGCCAGGTGGGAGTGAGTGGACTTGCCTTGTGGAACTGTTGGAGGCAAAGGCTCACAGCAGTAGCTCACAAATGAGTGCCTTCATGTTGGAGAGCCGAGGGTGGGGCAGAAAGGTGGGGGCTTGTTATGGGACCGATGTAGTTCTTCAGGGTTCAGGTTGGTGCTTCCTG